ACAGACAACCCCGTAACAATATGCGTTTTGTACTGCTGTTACACAGCACAAAACGCATAACAAGGAAGAAAGAAAGGGGAAGTGAAAAAGGATGGAAATCGAAGGAGAGGACAAACAGACGTGACTTTGTGAAGCAGGTGGAAAGATGAGGGAAAAGGTTGGTTAAGAATAGGGAAGAGGAAGAAAGTAGAAGCACAAGGGTCTAATAAAAGTCGGGAATGAAGTGAGGTAGAAGAAATTTTATGTGTAAAAAAGGTTTAAATAGGAATGTAAGCAAACCTCGATGATGAAGGTTTTGCTGTTCGAGTCGCGGTTGCCAGAATGCTTGCTTCGTTTAGCGGTGGTGATGTCTGGAATAAGAAAAAAGGATATGTAGTCCGACGGAAAGGGTGAATCGATAACGCAAAGTGGAATACATAATAAACTGGAAAGAGCTTGGGTTATGTGGACATGCAGTGTATCAGACGACGACAGTGTGATACAGTGGAAGGGAAGTATTTGGCGAAATGGAGTTTAATTTTATGTATGAAAGCACCAAGTAAACGGTGAAGACGATCAGGAGGAAAGCCTTTAGCATAATAATCAAGAAGCAGACGGCGAGCCAAAGATATGAGTCATTGAGGGGAGGACTCAATGCGTAAGTATCTTATAGGTTGACTGTAAATCGTGCCATCGTGGACCGATGGGTGCACATTGCTTTGAAGCGAAGAATAGTTGTCGATGGGGAAAGTGAAGTGGTCATCTTTACAATAAATTGTGGGACCTACGCGAGCTTCTTCATTTAAGGAAATATACCTAAGTAGACAGTGGAAGTACCGGAACCAGTAATTTCAATGTCCAGATACTGGCCGTACAAGTCCAGAAGAAGCGAGCGAGAATGAGAATAGTTAAGCATGAGCACCTCGTTAACTTATCGACAAAGAAAAAGTGAAGAGTCACTGGGGACCCTGCTGAATTTAATTTCAAGCACCAAAAGGGTAAGGTCAGCAATATCGGAGCCTGCGTTACCTCCCATAGGGATGCCCTTAACTTGTCGGGAAATGTAACCGCCAAATCGCACACAGAATTCGCCAATTACAGTGCGAAGGATACTGCCGATTTCCATAGAAGAATAGAGTACACCATAATCAAATGATCTTGCGTGGTTAACGTAATAAATATTCTTAGTGATGATATGCAGAGCGTCGGCGTAAGAACTGTGAAAGCACAAGAAGGATAACCGAGCGCATCGTAAATAACATGATGAGGCAGTTTCGTAAACAAAGTTGAGAAATCAGCAGTATGAAAATGCTGAACGGGGCCACATCCGTTAACAAATGCGATTGTTGCGAGTACCTGGACTTCGTGGAAGCCAAAAGATCATTTTAAATTTGTTAATTGCTGCTATCAAACGATTACCTTCGCATGCAAACACCAAATCAACCGGATTGATGACTGATTGCCCTTAACGAGTTCTCTCGTCTGGCCCTCTCAGGTTGTCCTTGAGCCTAGTATGCAGTTGGGCATTAACTTTCTGCTGCCACGGCATTTCCGCAAATAACAGAACAATACGTTTGCGAACCAGTATCTTGCCGAAACTATACTTTGCTACAGAGCCTGACATTCCATTCAGAGTCAACCCCTTCACCCCATGGGATTCTTTTACAGATCTCTCGACTGAAGTGCGTAGGTATGAGAATGTTTTGCTGGCGGTAGATGCTTACATAAGATGCCGCATAGTTCATTCAGTGAACACCACTGTAGACACTGTCCCAGCCCGGTACGTTGGCGAAAGAGACTTTGTCTTGGACATCCTTGCCAAGGGTAATTTGCAAGCATTTGCGTATCGCCTGAACTATTGGCAGGGGAACAGCATTATGTATGTCAAGGTCCTGCTTCCAGGCTATCATTCGCCGCCTTGACAATGACTACCACGGTAACGTTCGAGTAAGTTTAAGACTGCACATATTTGATGTACAACTAGCTGACGAGCTGGATGAGTATACTGAAGTGAGTACTGAACGGGATGAATCGTGCACAGATTACGAATATAGGATAAAACAGTTCAAAACTCGCAGCATTCAGTCGGCCTTCGATCTAGTGAGGGCAGTGGTCCTATTGTAGGTATTGGGTCAGCTCAAAGTGCTGCTTCTCCAGAAGTATCCGAGACCACTGTCGCTCAGCTGACTTCTGAATAAGCCACTGTTGTCCAATCACTTTTAGGCAACATCCTAGTCCTCTTTCAGCAGGCGCCCGCTGGCACGGGAAAAACCCGGGTCATCGGTGCCTTTGTGGCCGAGTTGCTCAAGCGAATTTCGCCGTAGTCAGATCTTATTTTGGTTACTGCTGTAACTAACATTGCTCTGGTTAATGCTACTAATGTTATTTTAGATGATGTACCAGATCTACAAGAAGATAAACTCTGCTTCCTACACTCCACCCAATCCGAGCTGCTGTTCCCACAGCAGGATGACCTCCACCCAAATTACTGGAAAGTTTGCTTAGGCGCCATCGAACCTGCGGAAAGAGACTTCGTCAAACACTACCTTCACCGGCGCCTTCCGCATCAGGGCATTAAGGCCAACGACTCCCGTTCGCTCCGCATTGCGCTCCTCGGTAAGCCTCAAATCATCCTGGCGGGCACAGTCTCGATGGTTGATGAGACCAGCATGGTACCTGAGAGCCAGCTTCTGCGCGGCCTCCCCCACCCGAGTTAAGTATTCTTGACAGGTGACTGCAAACAGTTGCCACCTTATCACGCCATGGTCCCCGATAATTTTATTCCATATGGTGCACGAGGCGCCATACAATCGATAATGGCGCGAGGTGTGATACCAGTCCACAGCCTCTCGCTCAGTTACCGATCCCAGTGTTGCAAAAGGAAAAAGAAGCGAGTAACAAGGAAGCGAAGTTGGAGACTCAACCCCCTTCGCCTTGTCCAGTTGCCCTTCGGTTTCCGGTAATATGCAAATGTCCCGTCTCTTGGCTTGAGTTCTCCCTCCGTGATATTTAATGTGATGATTGAAAATGAAGTGGTTATTGTAACTGTTGGTTTCGCTAAAATGTGGAGTTGTGCGGTGGCAGCTTGGAGCTGCTGCCGGGCGGATCCCGGGCTAATTAGTTTTTTCCTAACTGTTTTTCTTTTGTTTGATTGTATTAATAAAGAGGTGAGTCCTAGTTGCTTGGTGCTGCACTTCCCTGCCAGGCAGGCACCCCAGCTCCAGCTCCTCCTCCGCCCGAGCGTTACACACCCGTTTCTTACACACTGCCTCTTGCAAGCGTCCTACGGAGGATCGCTTCAGTCAGCATCAAAAGCATCTCAGCGTACAGCCCTAACAAACTCCTCTTTTCCT